TTAGCTCTACCTACTATACTAGCACTAGCACACTTTAGTTATACGCCCATCACGTTACTAGGCTGAGGGTAGGGGAAGAGCCACTAGAATACTATATGACTTAAATTAACAGCTAGGGAATGACTGGTAACATTGACACGTTTAGACGGGGGGCAGCTGCATTCAGGAATGCCAGAGACCTTAGTTGCCGACAACGAGAGACTCTTATTCAGGCAGCCAACACTAGAGCTTCGTAAGTGCTAGGGCCTCCAGCGGTGAATACGAACCAGATTTATAAAAACACTGCGCTACATAAAATTGCGTCTTAAGTCAAAGCCGCGACATGGCAGGATTCCCACGATGAGCTTCAACAACACATTACCATGTTATTTATTAAAGACGACGAAGACAATGGCGAGGCACCCACCACTCCTAAGCATCATTACGCGTCCGACGAGCCAGAGGAGACGGCCTAAAACACAGCAGGACTAGGGACGGCTGATCCATCGATGAGCATCGTGTCGAGCTTCACAAATTTAAGTACAGATACCTCACGACCAAAACGTGCCCGAGAGTCATTTAGCTCCCCTACATAAGGCAGACGCTCATTAAAGAGCCGTTCACAAGCTACCGTAAGTTAGCCACTAGTTGTTTCGGCCATAACTACTACACTACCACCTGAGCCACGTGATCTATGTGTGTGATATTATATTCTCACGAGCTGTTTGAACGGAAATTTGGGTTAACCTGCTTATATTAGAGAAGCCTAACGTAAGAACGAGAGTTCTCGATGCAGGAACTGTCGTTAGCGCCGACGAAGAGAGAAGTTCTTAGTTTGTAGTAGTCATGCATTACACTCTCGTATTAAACATAGTTTCTTGCGTTATCCAGCCGTGGACAAACCCGCCGGAAAGATAGATACATAGCGATGCTTATGAATATTCCTAAACCCTCCTGAAAGTGTAGATGTCTGCCAGTTATATTCGACTACCATTTCGCAGTGTACCAATTCAGCTGTAAAAATTCCGTCTTTGCGGGCAGTGACCACTGACAGATTAAACCCTCGGCGCATGAGAGTCGTATTCGGTAATGTTAGCGAGCAGGATATAGTGAGGAAGACAGTTGGAAAGAGATTACCCACAGCCCGAGCACTCGACGACGAACACCATCTCATCCAAGTTTGCAGTAGAAGTTGACGGAGCTTTTAGTTCGTTGCACAAAGAAAGGCCATGATTATGCGGCCTATGACTACAATATATATTTATTACATTCAAAAACTCATGCTTAAGGTGTACCCCGATCGATGCATGCCTCCTCGATTTTAGCTCATACCAACTAAAAACTGATTAATTACTGAAAATACCTGGCTATTAGACATGCGAATGGACCTTAGAGACACCTTGAAATCAAAGCTAGTGCAGACACGCCTGAAGGATTGGCCCACGCAGATTTGGCCAATCACTCAGATGTACCACAATGCCAAATAGCGCCTGCACAAGGCTCTTCGCTGTGTCTAGAGTATATGATATCACACAATCATCAAAGGCCCATTCCGGGATGGTTGCCGCAGAATTTGCAGTTTTTGCACATTTTCGCTGCTTATAAGTCCGGGATTCTGATTCGCCCTGTGGCCAATTTGTTGCATCTACCTTCACATCACTGATGAGGTTCTTGACCAAAATCGGGCGGCTAAAGAGACCACTGGCCCGTCGATGAGCTTCGTGTTGAATTTCACAAACGGAGGCTACTCGGCCAAAGCATCCTCGACTAAATATTTAGCTCGCTTAATTAAGGCAGTCGCTTTGTGTGTCGATCCCGCCCTGCCAAAAAGCAGGAACCTCTCAAGTCGCCCATTTCTCAACAGGTTCATATTCATCGCACGTCTTGCTGGGTTGAGACCAGCGTACGCTAAGGGAACATTTATTTTCATAGTTTCGAAGGCCAAGAAATCGAGACAGAGGTGACTGAATGGAAAGAGGAGGCAATAGGCGAGTCGCGATATTCTTCTCGAAGGAGCCTAAGATCAAGAAGGTTGTTTTCACGAGAGAGCTACCGAGAGAGCAAACAATGGTGATGCGGAGGATGTATGAGCATGAATGGCCGTAGAACTCTGCTTCTCATATATTCGACTCCTTTGTGCAGTAAAGAATTCATCATAAAAGCATTAGGTGATGTTGCATTGGACAATTTGCACAGTATGTACAATTGGGCGACTGCGTTGATCGGCTGCTTTGTGTATGGGGCTGTGGCCGTGTGGATACGTCCACGTCATACATGTACATATCGCATAGTCGCGATACCTTTCCCCCGCCGTCGGCCTCGAAAACGAATCGAGCGACACAGAACGCCCTCTGGTTGGCACGGCTGTTAAAGAATAGGATGTTCGCAGATTCTGTAACTGCCTAGTTAGAACCCGACTGTCTTTGTCACCTCTCCCTGCCGCTGCTGCTTACCTGTTTCTAGTCACACCTTGCTTTAGAACGGTTAATAAATATGGCACGTTACAATCAGCGATTTCGTTCATACTCACCGTCGTGTGTTGCTATTCTATTTCGCCGCATAGCCACATGTTGGGCAGGCCATCCCGTGGAGGCCTTGATTTTAGTAAGTCTCACATGGCGGTTTGCTCATGCTTATAACGAGCACCACCACGCGAGAGGGTAGGTAGTGGTTTCCTGGTTCAAAAAGATATCTGAAAGTAGCTGAAAGAGAAGAGATTTGTAGAATACTACTTAGCTATTTAATGGGTTAAGATGTTATTAGGCTCGTTAACATAAATAGTAAGCCTAACTATGAGAACCTAGGCTGGACGATTACGTAATAGTATGTCACTTAGTAACTAGTTATTGCGGGTACGAGTACTTGCCCTTTACCTCGTCCTCATTATGCCACAAACACTAGCATTAGAATATGTCGTACGAGAGCCATTACTAGTAGCAGTGCAACTTCTACTCAGCCTGTTTTTAAACGGAAAATTCCTTACAGTAGCATCTTGAGGAGTACAGGGTCAGTTCTACTCTAACAACATCATGGCTAGTGCCTAATGTGACACAGCTCAGAGCCGAGGAACTTAAACGATATAAAGCCCATGCAGACGCAAACCGCGAATGGCAGACGGATGAGGCCTCGGAACATAACGGTGAGAGCCCTTATTCAATCAGGTCTGATACAAAATGTCCACATCCAGCTTGTGACCAAAGAAAGCCATTCCCAAAAGGGCAACAACTCCGGGTGCATTTCAGAACGCGTAAGCACCTCTTTGCCAGCATACTCATTTCTGATTAACAGCTGCTACTCCAGATATTACATGTGAAGAGGTCTGCGTATGCTGCTTCAAAGTCTTTCGGATCGTCAGCGAGTACATTAGGCATACACGACAACACGGCGACGCGAGCGAAACAAAGACGTCGTATATGGCTAGACTATGCTCTGAACTCCGTAAGCTGGCGGATGATGAGCTACGCAGGCATCTTCCACAGGCTTCACAAGTCATCACAAAGAAAAGACGAAGGGACTCTACTTTGGAGCCAAATGCTTCTAGCTCCACTATCCAACCAGAACATGCTATTGCGCTTGAGGAAGGATGTTTCAATGTCGGAAATATAGAACCACCCTGTCCTGCAGCTCTCCATCCCGTCAACAACCAACACGCCTTTCAATCAGCAAATTCGACCAATTTACTGCCTCCCAGCATCGACCAGCCGGATTTATCTTCCGATATACCGAGCGATTCATATCAACCAGCTATCAACGATTCAATATATGACCCTCCCCTCTTCATGCGGCTCAACTTTCCCGAATATCCAAGCTGGATTGACGAATCCGTATGGTTGCCAAATACGTCGGAAGGGGGAATGACAGCCCTCAGTTGACAACTTTACAGCCATGCCCAGCGATTAGGCGGCATTGCTGGTTCGTTCACTCCTTGATGTCGCTGGCCGATGACTCATTGTCTATTCTTGCTGTTGTTTTAGAGGGTTCTCGGAATGCGAAGTTAACGCCTACTTCGGCGGTTTCCATCTCCGAGACCTTCTCACGTAATCTGGGCAGATTCGGCAGATACATTGGCGGCCATGTAGAGAGCACATCCTCAGTTGCAAACAAGAACGTCAGTGCATAACCGCGCTGGATTTCTATGCACGTCCGGGCATCGAAAGTGACCCTAGAAAGAATGTCAGAACTGATAGAACTGGGTCGGACCGCGACGAATCTTACAATCCGCCGCCATCGAAACGAAGCTCCTTCCCCTCCAAGCCAGCTTCATCAAGTGCACTTTGTTCAATTTCGTAAAATAGATAGTCTGTCGCCCGAGTAGGCAGCTCATGCAGATGTGATCGAACGTAGTATTTTACTCGTGAGCCTTTCGATAGTAGGTGAACCATGAAACGACGTCGACCAGCTTTTGGGCCTCCGGCTCTGAAACAAATTACATGACCTGGGTATGCTCTGTACCTCAGCCAGTGCACCAGGACACATCTTCTTCCGAACCATTCTAGGAGGAGAGGTCGGATACGCTGATAAGAAGAAGGTTAGAGGAGAAATGTACGGTGGGTTATTTGTTCTCACCTCGTCAAATAGAACGTTCGTTTTGCAGAATTCCAATCCATCTTCCGTCCAGAGAGGGAATCCGTTTCGCTCTAACACCGCGACAGACTCTCCGACATCAGAACTGTTTTGCTCTATAAACCCTTCGTCATCAATAGTGTGTTTTGCTTGCAAAACCGTTGAATTGCTGTTTTCCATGGCGTCAACGGTATCCCTTGCCTTATGCAAGGAGAGTTTGTAAGTTCGGAGAGCCATGTCTGTAAACCCCTCCAAACTCTGACGTAAGGGTTGCGGCATCTTGCAGTAGGCCGATGTTTATCCGACTTTTTTTTGGCCTCCTAGCCAGCACAGCATATTGAGTGGCAGGAAATTCATCATTCAAATTCATTGCCGAGATTGATACACTATCTTGCGCCCTACCACGAATTTCATAACCAGTTCATTCTCATAGAGCGTGATTTTTCTGCGTAGCAAACATGCGAAACGGTGACGATCCGAGATTTTTGCAGTTGTATGTGGGAGCGCGACCCCGCGATACCCATCATGCAGGGCAGCAAGACAAGTCTGCACGTACTGCATCGCGATACGGCTATCAGGCTTGCGTTGAATGGGTATCGCACAACCGCGATACCCAGGGGTACCCACGATATACGTCGCACCTCCAGGCATGGAAGCTGTGTTGTCTGTGTCATTTTGATGTTCAGCCTCGTATGCACGTAATATACATTGGTGGACGCTTGGCTTGCAGGACTACCAGCTCCTGTATGCAAGTCTCTTAATCCCGACTGCCAAATGCAAGTAGTATGTGAGGAGTGACAGCGTTAGGGAATCTTAGCTTTCGGTGCGCTTGTTGGTGACGGATCCACGACCGTCAAACGAAGGCGGGAGATGAGAAATGAAACCGTTTGTCAGAGGTGTAGCTTGCATCAGCCACCCTAGAAATCACCACTAGCTTTCGTAGATGATTGCTCAAATACGGCGCCGCAATGCGCAAGCCGGCCAGGATGATTCGGAGCTCTATATAAACTCGGCAGGACCCTGTCTTTCCCTCATCATCTTCCGAGCCTCAAAGTTACTAATTTAGTGCCATTTTATGATTATTATCTTTAACTAGGTAGCTAAGCGGTACACGAGGACGCAAGTGCGGGTAAATGCTTCTGTTTCTGAGTCTATCGTTGATAGAAGAATAGGCCCTCATACTCTAGTGCGACTGCTCTAAATAGCTGCCCATCCAAGCACGGGGACACAATGCTAGGACATCTTTAAGAGATGCTGAAAAGAGAACAGCCCTAAAGGTCAGTGTTTGAGTCTTGTATTGCTAATGTCAAACCGATAGATGTTAACACAGCGCAACCAACAACAGCGCATTAGAGACAGCTGTCAATACTACGGAGCTAGGGTACGAGCACGCTAAGTCGACCAGCACAATTAAGGCCGAGCTTCAGTTACAGGATACGTCTGTAAGCCCAGGTACGCTACTCAGCAGCTTAACCATCGCCTTACTTCTTCTAACTCCAAGTGTTGTACAGATCCAGTGCCTAGTAACTCTGGGAGTGCATTAAACGCCCAGACTCCTGGCCAACCCTTTGAACCCGCACCTCAGGCTGCGGAGGGTGGCGCTTCGGCAATCAAAATCGCTACTTTAGCGTCGCTATGTGACGCCGCAGGCCAACAAGTCTACGATCACGCCAAACGCGCCGCTTCGCCTGCAGGTAGCGCCAGCCAAGGACCACCAAGTAAGTTGTCCTCCACCTTTGCCTAGACTACTTAGCTAACTTACTAAAGATACCCTAGCAGCCGAAGACGAAGCCGCTGACGCACAAAATGATGTCGTTGGCCATGCTACCTAATTAAGAGTCTTACTGTCCTTAATGTCTAAGTTAGCGGTCCTAGCTAGAAACAGCCAGAAATGCAGTGTATCATCGAATGCTTCATCTCTACGTGCGTTACCTGAGTCGAACAGTACATTAAATGCGGATAGAGCGATACTTTAGCTATAGGGTAGGCCTAGAAACACCTATCCTTAGACTTTAGGGTCATAATGTAGGTTAAGAGACACAATTAGGGTTACTTGCTTTCTAATTTAGAACTAAAGTGTTACTAATATTAATTTTAGATGGGCTAAGTTATATATAAGCGGTCGTGGCTAGTGCTGCCTGTGGACATTCTTAGGCGGGGGAGCTGAATATCCATAGGTCAACTAACTAGCATCGCCCGATTCCTAATCTACTTAGATAGTAATAAAAGCTTAAGGTCATTATGGCTGCCATAGCCACTAAAGAGACGCCGTCCACTAAGCGAGACTTAACTAAGTCTTTCTTAATAATAAGTTCTGTATTCGACTATATAAGTGAAGATACTACTATTACTACTAATGAAGAAAGCTAGGATGTTGTATTTAGTTAGACTATTTCTATAGATGATATAGAGGGCTGGGAAGTAGTGAGGGTAGATATTTAGGATTTAGTGGTGGGCACTTTTCTCCTAGTAGTAGTGTGCGCTATTATTTACTGATTTCTAGACCTTATCTAATTATACTATTAGAAGTATTTCTATACTTAGAACATAATGTATTCGTAATCACAATGGATTCTGGTTTAGGCCTCTATTATTAGGCATTATAGACTAGTATAACCCACATTCGACCCCTCACTAAGAATACATAAAATAGACGACCCCGCTATACTACGGATGTAGCTAAAGTAGTATAAGCAGTTTTTTACTATTATAGACGAATAATTTAGTGTTAAGTAATTACTAGATAACCTTTTAAAGCAGGCGGGAATTATTTTATCGACCGATAGTGATATAGAAGCTCTTACCTAGCTCACTATCCACTAATATAACGTTATAAGCTTTACCTAGTGCGTTAAGTAGACGGAGCTAACTAGGTAGACGCTAATAAGAGAGTAACAGCTAAATGAATAGATTAAGCGACTTATAAAAGTAATAACACTATAATAAGGGGAGCCTAGGCTTAAAACACTAGCTAGTAAAAGAAGCATTATAATTATATTAAAAAACGGAAGCGTTATGATATAAGTGAAAGGGGCTAGAGAAAACTAAGAGTAGGGCGCTAAGATATGCCTTATATGTAATCCTTATTAGAGAAATATAGTTTTTATAATAGACGAGGGGGTTGTGATTAGTATTCTAAAAGATAGAGAGTGCTAGGGGCAGGAGATAAGTATCCTAAGGAGATAAGTATCCTAATAGTATAAAGTTACTTCTTATAAAGCTAGGATATATATAGAAATAGTATAGTATAGTAATAATCTTAATGTCCACTAGTTGCTAGTCTATATTCTAATCTAATAGATTCTAGCCTTTAAACCTATCTATATCTATTCCTATAAGAGTGTTAGTGGCTATTAATGTCTAGTTTAGTACATCGTCTATATCTAAACTCTTAAAGAACGAATCCTGCCCCGAGGTCCTAGTAGATACATTTATAGTTAGTGTAGTACTATTGCTTTAGAAGGCTATTACCACACTATTAGTGTTATAAAGGGAGCGCACTACTAGGTCCACATTTAACGCCTAGCTAGTATCTAAGTTCTCTATAATCTCCTCTACGCTTAGCCTATGCCTCTTTAAGGTAGTATTGTCTCTGACCTATAGCCTCTTCTGCCTAGCCGCTGTACGATCCTATTCTACGCGGCCCTTAGTCTTAAGTAAAAATGGGCTAGACGATAATACTAGCGATATAGTAGTGCCACGCACCTACTTACTCCTTATATTACTCGTATAACCACTGCTAATAGACGGCTAGGACAGTAGAAAGAGTGAATCCTCGTTTAGGACTATAGTATCATACGCTGGATTCTGGGCGGTACGGTCGTTAGGCACTAGGGCTTCGCCTACTATTAGATGTGAATAGCTACCTGTTGCTAGTGTAGTAGGCGGCGGAGCCTCATCTAGTAGCACCGTTCTGTGTTCTCCAATCGGCCTTGTGGGCATATTATTAGGACGCTTAGGTCCCTAGAGAGAGACAGATCGGCTGTATAGATTGGTTGTTTCGCTGCCTCTGAATAGTGCCAGTATGGCCGACGTTGCTACTAAGAATTACGAGGATACTACGCTGCCGCCGTAGCCACTGTCTCTATTATGATAAGGCGAGTAGACCTATAACGCAGTGTTAGTGAGCGTGTCTTAGACGGGTGTCACCTAGAGTGGTAGTGGCTATTCGGTTGGCTATCTATTTAGCATAGAAATGCCTTACGAAGGGCTAGTAGGGTAAGGAGTATTTTCGTTTACTATATTAAGAGTTTAATCTTAGTTATGCGTGGGTGTTAGATTAATATAGTTGCTTTAAAGCTATACAGCTGTCCATTAATGCGCTGGTTCCTTATTATTTTACTACGCTTAACGTTCCTCCTTATTAGTAGACGGAAAACTCTATAGAGAACTAAAAACTTCCCTAATGGTTCTCTCCTTAAAGACTTCGTTTCCTACTTTCACCTAATCTTCCACACTAAGTTGTTTATATATATCCTCGTTTATAACGGGCGTCTATAGCTATAGGGTTAGATACTAGTGAGTAAATGCTGTAGGATTAAATGTTAAAACTCTTTAATTATAAATAATAGTACCTTATAAAAGCCTATTAATAGCTAAGAGCCTTAGCCTTAGTATTTCCTATATAGTGTTTATAAAATTTTCTATGTGTTCTTATGACTTCTAGATGAGATCCATAAAAAAGAAGAATAAATTTCTAAGAGCAGTAAGGATTAGGAGAGTGGCCGTACTAACAATAGATAAAAGTTAAAGGATTTTAGGGATCCTCTAAGACTACGTTATAAAACAGTTATATATGCTTTTTTTTAGCTCACTATATTTAATCTTCCCTCTAGTCTGTATATATACTAAATAAGCGAGTATTACTTAGCTTAGTTAATAGAGGTAGTTTACTTTTACTTACTCCTTCTTTATTGTCTTTATCGTCCGTGCTAATATAGAGAAAACATCTTCTCTATAGTAGGCAGAGTTCTCCTACACACTAAGTAAGGATTCCCTCTTAGTGTCTCCTTTCTAGGCCACTTTAATTACTAACGAACTATTAGTTTTATTAAGTAAGGCGGTAAACCCTAAAAAGAATTTATCTACTAAAAGAGTGACTTCTTTTAATTTAAGTGCTAGCCTAGTGTTAAGTGGAAGCTGTATATCCAGGGAAGTCCTTATATAGTGTAGGTCGCTAGAAACTAAGTGATAACTACTATTAGCCACCTATAAGCCGTTATTAAAGAGGGTATAACGTATGTCTTCTTAAGGCGCGTTAGGGTAGTACTAAACAGCCTTATAAGAGGAAATAAGATAATAGGAGCTCTTATATTATAATATTATAAGGTGTAGTTTGTCTATAGCTATATGCCCGTTATAACGGTGGGTGATGGTTAATATAAACGTATTATTAACATCCGTTTAATTAAGGTTAAAAGTCAGCTAATTGAAGGCTAGAGTATATAGAGTTCTAGATAGTAACTTAGAAAGTGCTAAAGAGACTATTATTCCGTGGGAAATAAAAAGATGTTAATAGAGAGAGTGTTCTCTAAACTAAGTAGGAGGAATAGAACCGTCCATAACTATAAGGGCTAATAATTATTCGTCACACGCAACCGTCGTAGCGTCGCTAGGGCGGCGGCCTTAACTAGGATTTAATGATTTAAAGGATGCCAGCCACGGCCCACTGTCAGCTTTAGCGTTTGTTTTTTAATTAGAAAACAGACGCTAAGCTATAAAGTGCTATTAACCCCCTACTTTATGTGACGATTATTAACTCCGTCGTTGCTTTTATAATGATGACGACTAACCATAAGGCGTATTCTAGTTAGTTCCACTAGTTAACTAAGCCCGTATTATATATAGATCAGGCTCCTAGGAGTAGCGTATAGTGAGAGCTAGAACTACACCGCTATTAATAATACATCTAATCGTTACTAGGTTAGACGTTATTTTAATATTTACTGCCTACAGTGTTATAGATGTCTGTATTATAACCTACTTCCTTATTAATATTAAGTAAAAGTTAACATTCTTTTAGGCGACCTAATTTATCCTAGCTATTACTATAATAGTTTCGTGTGGAATTCTCTTCGCCATATCTCCTCTAGAGGCGTAGCCACGTAGATTCACGAGTATAAACTCCTTACGGGTATTAAGTAGCTTATACATATGCATAGAGCCAGTACGCCTTAGTATCCTTCATAATACTATATCTAACTATAACTAATTAGGTTAGGTTATACTATTAATTTAACTAAACTGGATTAATTTAAGTAATAACGATTTTTTAGTTCAGCTTAGTATCCACACTACTACTACTCGGGGTTAGCGCCTAGTGATATGTTATAACTGGTTTATAATAGCTATAGCTCTTTATCTAGATACTAAGTGTAATACTATTAATTATAGCCTTTACCCTTAGTATTAAGCTAAAGCTAAAGAAAAAGTAAACTCTATATTAACTCCTATAGGTTAAAGGTTAGGTAGCCGTTCTTAATCTTATCACTATTACGTTAGTAGTAGTAGCTTATATTATTCTAAACACATAAGTACGTACCTTACATAGTGTCTAATTTCCTTATTAGTTTTCACTAGGCCTATTATAAACAGTAGCTAGGGTTATTAGGAAAGAGTTATTCCTAACCCAGTAGCACCCGGGCGAGTCTCACGAGAACCTAGTGGAGAGGATAGTGGCATAAGAGCTAGAGATCCTCAGACTAAAAACGTAGTCGCACTTTAACACAGACTAGGACGTGGGGAAAGTAAGATAGTAATAAAGGATTACACGCTTTAAGCTATAAATTCGCCTCTTCCTAAAAATGCTAGCTAGGTGAAACACAGGGAGGTT